ACCCCACCCCCTTCCTCCGCCCACTCGGCTCCCGAGCCCCCACCCGGGTCCGGGCCGCGCGCCCTCCCGCCAGCCTGCTGGCCCGGCGGGAGCTGCGCTGGGGGTCCCCGGCTCGGCCCGCCCCACGCCGCGCTCACCCCCGAGAGGATGCGGATTCCAACTTGGATCGGGGGAGGGAACGTCCTGGATGCCGAGCGCCTCCCGGCTGTTTGCTCTTCTTTATTTGTTTTCTTCTCCGAGAAAGGAGGAAAACGGAGAAAAGGAAAAGGAAAGAAGCGGCACTGGCCGCGTCTGCCGGCGGACGCCGGCTGCGCAGGAGCGAGGCGAGAGTCGAGGTGAGGGTCGCCGCTCACTCACTCCTCGCTCCCTTTTTTTTTTTTTTTTTTTTTTGCAAAGGCGGGGTCTCTCTTTGCAAACCAATGACACAACCCTACATGGGCTGGTCTCGCCCCCAACGGAGACTCCTCACTACAAATCGGCTCTCGGGGGATTAGTGGCTGCGTGAAAGTGCACATAGGCGCGGCGGCGGCGGGCGGGCGCGGCAGCCAGTCCCCAGCCCGCCCCCGGCACGGCCCCGCCCGGGAGGCTCTCGGGAGGCGCTGGGCCTCGGAGCAGAGACTGGGGTCTCGCCGCAGCGGTTCGGAGTTCGCCCTCCGCTCGCCCTCCTTCCTCCTCCGCCCCGTCCACGTGGGGCCCGGGGCGGCCGGCCACGTGGGGCAACGCGAGCCTGGGCGGGCCTCGGCGCGGCTTCCCAGGGTGGCCTCGGCCCTGGAGGGCCCCCGCCGGGCGAGCGGAGCCAGCCTTCCCCCTTCCTGGCTCCTCAGCTCCAACTTCCTCCTGGGCTACGGCGCGGGCCGCTCCCGCCTGCGCTGGCCCGCGGGGTCAGGCGCGGGGCGGCCGCAGGGGGCATTGCGCACCCCAGTCAGACCCGAGAGGCCGTGCCCGGGAGGCGGCGGCGGCTGTGGGCGCGCGCGCGAGGGCCATGTGTGCTGGAACTTGCGGCGGTGTATTCCCTACGAGAGGCAAAACATTTTTACACATTAAAAAAAAAAGTTCCTTCCTGTTGTCTGGATCTCGCTGGAGCTATTTTTAAAGACTCGCTTGCCATAGGTTGGATGTCCGAGCCTGGCGGGACGGAGGCCCGCCGGGGCCTGGAGAGTCGGGCTCCCGGGCTTTCGCAGCGCCCTTCCACCACCCGAACCCACCTGGTCTTGACGTCCTGCGATTGAAGTCTGGACGGCAAACGCGGAGCGGGGCCTAGCACCTGGACTGGATTCCGTGCCGTGACCCGTGACATCCGAGCGCGTCTCCGGAAGGGAGCCGGTGGCTGCGGACGGGAAGGCTGGGATCCCTGTGCCTCAGGGAGCCCAAATTCTCATCTCACTTCCCTGAATCCCAGCAGGCATCCTCCAAGACCCTTTGGGAATGAGCAGTGCCCATAAGCTCGATGTACTTAAAACCATATTGAGTTGTTAGGAACTGGATTGAGATGTAGAGAAAGAAAAGCTCGGGGAGGGGCCTGAGGTCGAGCTTTTGAAGGCCGAAGAAACGCCCATTCCGTGAGCTGAGACTCTTGGTGTGGCCTCGGTTCTGGAGAGCCCCAGGCCCTATCAGGCCCAGAAATTTACAGCCTGGGGCGTGGTGGGGCAGGGAGAGGCCACCCAGCTGAACCCCTTTTGCGTCCTAAAAAGCGCAGCAGGAGGCCTCTCAGTATTTATCTCTGCCTGTTGGCTAAAGTGCACCCAGATGTGGCCTGCCTGACGGGTAATGCAGGGCCCGTGGCTTCTATGATTGTTTTATACTCAAACATTTTAAAATTCGATTGACGATCTCCCTCCTATGACGGCATCGCGAGCCCCGGCCTTTCTCACCGCTGGCAGCTACCCCGGGAACAGACCAGCTATGCGACTCAAAGGTCTACGGTTATTCGTGAGAGAATTCCCAGATGTGTGTTTCCAGTTGTCTCCATCTTTTTTGCGACCCTGAGTTCCCACAGACTTATCTTCAGGGCCCTCCTTTCCCCATCGGCTTTGCCTCAAGGTCATGGTGCCTAAACACTTGGGTATAAACATCCCATTCACCCCAAGACTACTAGGATATCTGTTCCGGCTTTTCGGAGTTTCTCGGGCATAAACTATAATAACTATACGTATATATTTTTCTGGTTTTTTTATTTCACAGAAGATCTTTGGTTCCGAGTGGTTGTCTGTCCTTATGGAGAAAGTAAAAAAGTTATCCATATGATTTGTTCAATTTTCACGCCTTCTAGAGTTTGAAATCTGCCTGTGAAAATACAGCCTTTGTTTTGAGAACATTGTAAAGAAGACATCGTCAAAGCTGAAAATTCTTCTTGCTTAAGCTTGACACCCTGCATTTTAAAATGTAGAGCTCAGTTGCCACCAACATGTGAACATTTCCAACCTCTACTTTCTTTTTTAAGATGTTCAAAATCCCAAATAAAAAATTAGGTGATATACAAATGGCCAGTAAGCGCATGAAAAGATATTTAGCATCACTAGTAATTAGGGAAATGCAAATCAAAACCATAATAAGGTACCGCTTTATGTCCACTTGGATGGCTATTATGGACAAAACAGGAAAAAACAATTGTGGATGAAGATGTGGAGAAATGCAAACTTGTGTGCTGCTGGTCGGAAAGTAAAATGGTATAGCCACTGTGGAAAGCATTCTGGCAGTACCTCCAAAAGTTAAACAAAATTGCCATGTGATCCAGCAATTCCATTGCTGAATATGTGCCCAAAAAATGGAAAGTTGAGACTCAAATGGATATATCTGCCCCCATGTTCATAGCAACTTTATTCACAACAGCCACAAGGTGGAAACAACCCATGTATCTATCAAAAGCCAGATGTGGTGGTGCACATCTGTAATCCCAGCACTCAAGAGGCTGAGGCAGGATTGCTGTGAGTTCAAGGACTACCTGGGCTACTTGGTGAGTTCAAGGCCAGCCTGAACTAGACTACATAGCAAGACCCTGTCTCAAAACAACAAATATCTATCAAGGGATAAATTGATAAACAGTATATTTACTAGTCCACACAGTGGAATAGTATTCAGCCTTAAAAAGGAATGAAGCCCTGACACGTGACAGTGTAGATGATCCTTGAAAACAAGCTAAGTGAAATAAGCCAGGCACAAAAATACAAATAATGTATAATTCCATTTATATGAAGTAACTTAAATAGGCAAAACCATAGAAAGTACAATGGTGATTACCCAGGACCAAAGGGAGGGGAATATACAGTTATTCTTTGATGGGTAGAGTTTCTGTTTGGGATGATGACAAAGCTCTGGAAATGGTTGGTGGTGGGTGATGGTTGCACAGTATTGTGAATTGTACACTAAAAAACGGGTAACATGGCAAATTTGTGTCATGTAGATTTTACCACAATATAAAAAAGTTGCAAAAGTCTTTTAGTAGTTTCATATTTATTGTTATTTCTAAAAATATTTTTCTCTTTCTTTTTTTTCCGTTTTGTTTTGTTTTTTGAGACAGGGTCTCCCTATGTAGTTAAACGTGAATGTGACTTCACTATATAGCCTAGGCTGGCCTCGAACTTGCTGCGATCCTCCTGCCTCTGCCCCCACCCCCTACCCCCACCTAGTGCTAGGATTACAGGCATGTACCTACAGACAAAGAGAAAATGTTTTAAAATACATATTAGTCAATTTACAGGATTAATACTACTTACAAATTTTTCTGTGTGTCTTTTATATACTACAGTTCTAAGGGCTGGGGATATAGTTCAGTGGTAGAGTGGCTGCTTTCCAAGTGCAAGGTCCAGAGTTCATTTTCCAGCACTACAAATACATAAATGTGTATACACACGTGTATACATTTTGTACCTATATATAGGGTATTGAAATGCTTGTTTTTCTTTTTCTTTCTTTTTTTTTTTTTTTGGGTACTGGGGATCGAACTCGGTCCTTGTGCTTGTGCAGTAGGCCGCGAAACCACTGAGCTAAATCCCCAACCCAAAATGCTTGTTTTTCAGTACTCTCCATGATCTCTTCCCATGTGAGCCTATTTAATTGGTCAGTCTAAATTCCTAGTGTTTCAAAGTGGACTTTGACAGACACAAAACAGGAGAGTGGTAAAAATAACAGTATCAGTGACAAATAGCAGCACCAATGTTTGTCCTTGACTTGCCACAGTGCTCACAATGTGCTCAGCACTTGATAAACATCTTCAATCGTCATAGCTGCCCCTTAAAAAAATACTAATATTATCTCCATTTTACATAAGGGAAACTGAAAATCCAAGACTTAACATGACTTCCCCAAGGCCACACTGCTGGTGAGTGAAGAGCTGAGGTCAGACCCCTGTCCTAACCCTGATATCCGCCATTCTAAAAGGGCTCCTCTTTACATATCCATGCTATTAATATAGTTCCAGAAAAGGCAAAGTTAATTAATTTTGAAATATATGTTTAACGTTGTCTTGATTTTTTTTCTCAGGTGTTTAGTGATGAGCTGTCATTCTAATCTTTAAACAGGAGAAAGGAAATCCTACGAATTAAATGTGTTGTCAGAAGCTGGTTTAAAAAAAGAAAAGATGGAAGCCAGGCACAGTGGCACAAGACTTAATCCCAGCTATTTGGGAGGCTGAAACAGGAAGACTGACTTCAAGTCCACCATGGGGAACGTGATGAGACACCTTTCTCAAAAATAGAAAGACAAGGACTGGCATAGTGTGGTGGATTATAAGGCTCTTCAGGATCAATTTTGGAACAATAACAAAAAGTCATGATAATAAAGCAGAAAGTAAATGATGAATGACCTGAAATAAGAGTCCCATTTATGTATTTATATTCCAGAAGAAGAAACAACATGAAGCATTCACAAAGGTTGCATCTAATACTTTTCTTTTTATAAAATATCTATGATCACTTTTCCCTGATTGACTGTTAGAAAAATACTATTTTTTTTCATGCAATATCATTAATCAAGTGGTAGGAGTTTGAAATGTCCACACTGCACTCAGTTATATAGAATACACTTTTTTTTTTTCCTTTTAAATTCTGGGGAACTCAGCTCATCTGCTCAGATGCTTCCGTTCCACTCATTTTTGAGTGTAGGAAGTTAACTCCCTATCAAACTGATCTTTGCTCTGGCTCCAGGAGTTTCCATTCTCTTTCTGTTTCTAGGTACCTGAATTTGGGGTTCAGATGGGGCCGCTGGGGGAGGGGGTCCTGGTGTTGAGAGGTCTAACCTGGTGGAGCCCCAGGGCTGCAGGGTGAGGGCAGGTATACCTGCCACAGGTGTGACTATGCAGACAGGGCCAGGGCATTAAGCCTGGGGACCCAGCCACTCCCTGCTGACCAAGCCAGTACCATTGACCTCAGATGCTGCCTTGTCTTCTACAGACCTCACTCGGGTGCCCTTCCAACAGGACCACCATCCCCAGGGAAGTGCAGTAACTTTTAACTTTCAGTTTCCTTCTGTGTCCCCTCCAAGCCCTAGGTTCCATCTAGGCCATATATGTGGGGATGGGCACTCCTATCACAGGCCAAGAGTCCAGTCCCTGCCCTCTGCCACCCACTGCTAGTACCAAGGGGAAGGGGCAGGCAGCCAGAGCTGGCCCAGAGTCTTCGTCAGTCCCTGGGGATTTCTGTCATCTCTGCTCTGCACTTCTCCAAACGAAAACAAATGCATTTCTCTTGAGGAACTAATGGGTTTGCTTTTTTGTTTATTTATTTCTTTTTAAAGTTCTGGGAATTGAACCCAAGCTTTTTGGACTAAACTAAATACCCAGCCCTTTTTGTTTTTTGAGACAAAGTCTTGATAAGTTGCCAAGGCTGGTCTTGAACTTGTGATCCTTCTACCCCAGCCTCCCAGAGGGCTAGGATTACAGGCATGCACCATTCCATCCAGCTGGGCTTGTTTTTAATGGATCGTTAAAACTTTGGCACACATCCGTATCGAAGCACTCTGGGAGACTGAGGCAGGTGGATTGCAAGCTTGAGCCCAGCCTGGGCAATTTATTGAGACTCTGTCTCAAAAGAAAAAATAAAAAGTATTAAATAAATACACATACATATACATATATACAATAAAATAAAAATTAAAAATGCCTGGGGATGTAGCTCACTAGTAGAGCAGTCCTATTAAAAAGGGGGGAGGGCAGGAAGCTGGGCATGGTGGCGCAAGCCTGTGATCCCAGCACTCAAGAGGCTCAGCCTGGAGAATCACCCTGAGTTCAAGGCCAGCCTGGGCTTCATAGTGAATTCAAGGCCAGCTTGCACTACAAAGCAAGACCCTGTCTCCAAAAAACCCAACCAACCAACAAACAAAACCAAAATAAAGAAAAAACAGGAAATATTTTCATATAATCCTGTATTTGGAAAAATATTGTCCTTGTAATACAAATTAGAGAAGTAAACCTCAAAAACTCCCTTGAATATGCAGAAAACACAAGAATTGCTTCCTAAAGCTGAAACCACTAAACTGAAAAATTGTTAGAAGGAATTTCTAATTTCCATTTTTACTTTCTGGTGAACTGCACCATCATATATATGTTTTTACTATAATTATAATGTGTTATGGGAAATTGTTAATAAATACACACAAACTCAACTATATTAACATCCCAAATTTAGAGCCAGGAACATTTTTTGAGGGGAGGAGGCAAGAATTGCCCTTAAGAGCAGTTTGTCACATTTTGTAACCATGAAATTGTATGATAATTTGATCTGTTTTATAGTCCTAGCCCTTGGGAGGTGCTCAGTATTTCTTGGATAGGTAGATGGATGGACCACTTAGTGAATATATTTCAAGAGATCTGAGCTATTCAAAAGTGATACATGCAAACAGACAAAGAGAATGAGGTAAGCTTTAACTGAACATATTAGCATTAGAATGGTAGGACTTGGGGTGATCTTTAACATTTTTAAATTTTTATTTTTTATATTATTTGTATAATTTCAAACAGTAAAAGGCTTTGGGCCTGATGGCACATGCCTGTAATCTCAGCCTTTGGAGGCTGAAGCAAGGGGATTACAATTGAAAGCCAAAAAATAGAATAAACAACTAAATAAGAAATAAAAATAAATAAAAAATCTTAGGGAAATAAGACATATAATCAACTCTCTAAAGGTTCAGGAAAAAAATGCATATAGTAGAGAAGAATAAAGCAAAAAGAAAGTGTTTTCTAAAAACTGGTAAATGAGAAGTATTTGTACCATTTTTCCAGGGCTGGGGATCAAACCCAGGGCCTCACACATGCTAGGCAAATGCTCTACCACTGAGCTGTAGACCCAGATTCTCTTTGTCCTATTCTAACAACTTATCCGTAAATCCAGAATTATTTCAAAACAAAAGTTTTATTTTGTTTTTGTTTCTTTCTGATGCTATGGATCAAACCTGGGGCCTTATACAGGGCTCTACCACTGAGTTACATCCTTAGCCCCACCCCCAAAGAAAAGTAATGGAAAAAAAAATCTGCAGCCCCAGTGTGGGATATTGAGTTTGCAAGGCTCTTCTTTTCTTCTTTCCATTTAGCAGCCTGTTAACAGGGTGACATAATTCCTTCCCTGCTTTATACCCCCCTGGCAGCAGCTTTGATGTCTCCAGGAGCTGAGGGCCTATAAAAAGCCCATGGGACAGACTCCTGCAGGGTAACCCCCACCCCACAATGAAAGACCTTTAACCGAAGTTCTTATTTTTCTGTTCCCTACCTCTCCTATTTCATTTCCAGAAACCGATGGTTGTAGAAAAAAGATAGTGGCCCTAAATAATAGTGAGTCCTTTTATTGTAACTGTTTTGTGCAATAAATGGACTAGTTGTGTGCACTAGAGTGTTTCAAGGGTCTGTGTAGTGAGAGTTCCCGGGAGCTGGACTTCACTAGATTGTCACTTGCTTGGCTTGGTGGTTCAGGGTTCAGTTCACTTCAGAGTCACAATTACCCAAAGCTCTCAGTTGCTGTTCTTAGCAGAGGTGGGAATTTGGCCTCCATGTCTGGTAGCATAGCGGTGCTTGTTGTGGCTATAACATAATCATTATATGATTCATAATTAATCTAATCATAATTAATTCTGTGGCCCTTTTCAGCCATGCATTAAAAATCCTTTGCTCATGCCCTACCCAGCAAAGGGTACAGAGTGGTTAAGCTTTTGCAATTTCAGAATTTAAGTGGCAAATGGGTTTAAGACTATCACTTTTATTTTTTAATTAATCACACATGTGCACACATGCAAACACGTGCGCGCGCACACACACATACACACACACACACAAACACACGGCCTAAATCCTATTGAACTACTGCTACTCAACAAATAATGAAGAGAGGCCTGCTCCATGCCTGGCTGAGACTGGACCCTCAGTGCAAAGGTTACCCTCAGCTGGTGGATACGGTACCTCCAAGAAGACAGCATCCCAGAGAGACAGCAAACCCAAATATTACCTCACTTAAGCCTCAAGATAGGGACCAGGACTCCACAGTTATCTGTGTAAAGTCTAAAGCTCCCAGAGAAGTTAGGTGTAGGGCTGGCTTCAGGGGCGTGTGACCTCTAGACTCCCACAGAGTGTTGCTCAAAAGGATTGTCCACTTGGCTCTGCTGTCATCATCATAAAATTCTTAATAATGGTGAACAAAAGGCACTGTGTCTTCAGTTTGCACTGGGCCCCACAAATTATATAGTTGGCTCTTTTTGTTTTGTTTCATTGAAATAGATTCTTGCTGTGTTGCCCAGGCTGGCTTTAAATTCTTGGGCTCAAGGGAATCTCCTGTCTCAGTCCCCCAAGTGCATTACTATGCTCGGCTTCTATAGCTGATTTTGATGAAGTATTTTGCCTAAGGTCCCTCTGCCACCACATGGCACCTAGAATGAAGGGTAACTCATAACCCCTCCAAGTTCACTGTAGTACTTCAAATGACTTGTGAAGCTAATTCAAATACTGGATAAAACTGGTTTCATCCTTGCACAACAGATCACAGGGTAGAAAACCTAGAAACCTTTATTAATAGCCCATGGAGTCAATGGAAGCCAACGTGAGCCTAAAACAGCCTCTGGCCTCACAGGCCACCTTACACGTCCAGTGTTGAGCCCTATCCTAGGAGTGCTAATTCTCCTACACCTAGGGGAGCCCATGACACACACCTTCAGGGCAATGGTGACTAAGGCTAGAGTTACACTGGTGGCTGACATCACTCAGCAGGACCAGTGGTGAGGCCATGAGAGTGGGAACTACCACTAGGAATAGCCAAGCATGGGGCAGAGATGGAGTGGCACAAGGGGAAAAGAGCAGCATTATCCAAGGAATTACACAGGGGAATCAAAATATACAGTGAGCTAAAATAGGTGTTTTCTTTTTATAAGTTGCTTATCTCAGGTATTTTGTTATAGTGGCAGAAAGTTGACTATCACAACTCCTAAATACTTTACCATATATCCAAGAAGAAAGACCTACAAAACCCTAATATCCTAGCATACTTATAAAGATTAGCAATACCTCTCAACACCTGGGCTGTAAATTAAGTGCTACTCAGTGTATTGGTAGTATACTGCTGCAAATCTCTGGACTGTTACCGGTCAACACAAGATTTTAGAAACTTTCGTAGCAATTTGTCAGAGTAATGTTAGATTGATTAAGTCTAATAATAATTAAGAAAAAAGCCCTGGAGTTGCATTTTGTACATTTTTCATTTTGTTTTCCTAGAAAGTCACTTTTATTAGATTTTAGAAAAGCATCAGTCTGACACACACTGAAAAATAAAAACTGTTTCTTTACCACAGATGGTTTGAGACATAGTAGTTAATACCTGGACCATTTTCAGATGTCCTCAACTGTTCCAGAATGTCTTTTGTAGAAATTTTTTTTCCCAGTGATCGAGACTGAACCACAAGTGCTCTACCACTGAGCGATAGCCCCAGCCCTTTTTATTTTTTATTTTGAGATGGTCTTGCTAAACTGTCCAGGTGGGACTCAAGCTTATGATTCTCTTGACTCAGCCTCCTTCGGCGCTGGGGGATTACAGGCATATGCAACCATTCCTGGCTTCTTCCTCCTCTGCCGCCTCTGCTTTCTCCTCCTCTTCTCCTTCTCCTTTTCCCTGACCCTCTCCCTGTCCCTCTCCTCTCCCCCTCCTCATTCTTCCTCTTTTTCTTCTCCTTCTTCTTCTCCTCCATCTCCTCCTCCTTCTTCTTTTTTCTTCTTCTTTCTTCTTCTTCTTCTTTTTTAATCCAGGATGCCCTTGAGATTCACACCTGCATTTGGCAGTCACAGGGTCTGGCAGCCTTTTTCAGCAGGTATTGGACTTTGGAACTTGTGGGTAGGCCCAGCTCTAAGCTAGAAGCTGTGATGTGCTGGTGTCAGAGATGATAAGGAGGGAAACCATAACGATGTGCTGACCGAGTGCCTAGGGTCTGGGGACCCTCTGGCACAAGAATCCAATATTGTCTGGTTTAGGCTCTAGATAGTTCTCAGCTATGGAGTACGAGTCCTGGCATGGATTTAGGGACTCCTTGGCTGGGAAGCAACGTGCATTTCTCTAAAGCAGTTTCCACTGAAGAGAAATTATCAATAATTATTATAAAGCATCATGTAAATAACTACAACTTACTGTGTGTGCAAGACGCTCAATGGTGTCTGTGTCAGCAGTAGGGCCTTGGAGCTGATGCCCTGGGCTCTGCACCCTGGGCCACCTTCCTGGCTGCAATCTGTGCAGGTACAAAGCCATGTGCTTAGAAAGGCCCTGCTCTGCCATAATGCTCTCCTACCACTGTCTTAAATTTTCTTTTTTCTTTTTTGTGGTGTTGGGGATGGAATCCACATTTTAGGCAAATGCTCTACCACTAAGCCACACCCCAAGCCTCATCTTAATTTTTAAACAAGGGCCTTATATCTTACTTTGCACTAGGTCCTGTGTTCCACTGCATCTGTATGATCCATTTCAGTAGCAGCTGTCGTAAACTGTTGGTACAAGCTCAGACTCCACTTATATTGACCACAGACACTTTGAGCACAGGTTGCCTCACATTCTACATTCCACCCGAGTCTCTTCTGACCCCAAAAGACCCCATTCACCTGTACTGGAGACAGTCCTGAAGCATAGGAGAGATAATGGCTGGAAGGGGACCCTACATGCTGTCATCATCAGTGTGGGCAGGAGCAGGTGGAGAAAGGCACTGGGCTCCCACCCTTTGGAAAAGAAGCTCTGAAATGCCTTCTGCACATTTCACAGAGTTCCCAGCATAGTCCAACCCTCATTGCCCGCTCCCTCTCCTACACACCCACACCTGCTTCTGGGGCTCACCCTACATGAACCACCTGCACCGAGGACCTTTCAAGGTTCTGCTTCTGGGGGAACCCATGCTAAGACAGGGGTGTTCAGTGAATAAGTGTGGGTGAGTAAGAGAGCACTGAGCTCAGAAGAGTACTGACAGGAGTCAAGGAGATCAATTAGGAAACATCTGGTCCAGGACTTGGGACATAGTAGGTGCTCAGTAAGTGGTAACTGTTAGTGTTACTTCCTATCTAGCCTATCTTGAGTTTCCCTTTCAGAAGAAGCTAACATGAAATGCAAGACCAAATGTGACAGAAACTATTCATTCCCTAGAGCTGCAGTAACAAATGGCCACAAATTGGGTGGCTTATAACAACAGTTTTATTTGCTCACAATTCTGGAAGCCAGGAGTCAAAATCAAGGTGTCACTGGGGATGTGCTCTCTTTGGAGGCTCTGCTCGAGGATCCTCTCTGCCTTTTCTGAGCCACAGGGGGTTTCCGGCCATCCTGGGCATACACTCCAGTCTCTGCCTCTGACCTCACACAGCTTTTCCCTTTCCTGTGTATCTGTCAGGGTCTTTGTTTTCTTCCCTTCAAAGGACAACAATCATTGGATTAGGGCCCACCCTAATCTCAACTTGATTCCATACAAAGAGTTTGTCTCCAAATAAGGTCACATCTACAGGTACCAGAGGTTAAGACTTAAAATACCATTTGAGAGAACACAGTTCTACCCAAGCACTAAATTAAACAATTTACAGATAAAGAGTGGAATTATTTAAAGTAAAAGCCTAATGTTCTGGGATCATTTCACATGTCGCTTAAATGTACACTATTTACCCTCTTCTATCATTATGAGGAAGCCAGACTTCTTGGGTGGACTGCAGCCCTGTTTTGACATGGTCTCTGTAAGTGAGCTGAGAATTTAACTTCTAACACAGGATGTAATCCCAACTGGGCTTTTCCCACAGAGCTATTTATAAATAGCCTCAGACATTAATTATTAATACATATAAAATATTTATTAAGCATTTAATTTATGCCAGGCTCCTGTGCCAGGCCCTAGAGAGACAAAGAAGAATCAGGCACAGACTTGGCCCTCAAAGAGCTCCTGGTCCACCAGGCAATGGTAATGGAAACCCATAAATTCATGCACGAGCACTTACTGGATGCCTACTTCATGTAGAACACACACTGGGTCCCAAGGTCCTTGCTTTTTCTCTGCAGCAATCCAGGTGGGCTGCTCAGGAACTGTTTCAAGGCACAACATAAGCATGAAACCATTGATGGGAGTTTCTGTGCTACATTCAGACTCAAAGGCATGTTCATTTCCTGACTTTGCCTTTCTTCTGACCACATGACTTTAGATAGATCACATCCTTCTCTGGGGCTCTCTCTCTTCCCCTGAAAAAAGGAGCAAGTAAAATGAGATCATGGCAAAGGGATTCTCAACATTCCTATCATCAGAATTTAACAGAGGTTGGATGTGGTAGCACACTTCTATAATCCCAGCACTCTAAGTGGAGGCTGAGGCTAGAAGACTTAGTGAGACACTGATTAAAACAAAAAAATAAAAACTGGGACTCAGTGCCAAGGCCATGAGTTCAATCCTCTGCAATGAAAAAAAAAAATCAACCTAGACTTTTCTTTTTTAGTACCAGAGATCAAACTCAGGACCTTGCACTTGTGAAGCAGGCAGCGGCACCACTGAGCCAAACCCTCAGCCCACCCTAGACATTTATTAAACCTTTACTATGTGCTAGGAGCAGCACTCGGCCTTTGCTGTGCATTATTCCATTTAACCATCACAAGACTCCTAGGAGGTATGGAATGAAAATCATTTCCATTTTTATCAGGTGCACACCTATAATCCCAGCACTCAGGAGGCTAAGGAAGGGGGGATCTTGGGTTCCAGGCCAGCCTGGGCAGCCTTGCTCCCCACTGCATAAATTATTCCTATTTTGCAGATTAAGAAAGTAAGGCATATAGTAATTACATCTACATCCATAGATCACAGAGTGTTAACTGTTAGAGCAGGGGTCTAACCCAAGTGGATTCAGTACTCAACACTGGGCCATCTCCTGTGTGTTCCATGATTATGCAGGGTTTTTTTTATAGGGTCTTACTATATAGTTTTGGTTGGCTTAAACTCACAATCCTATTACTTTAGCCTCCTGATTGCAAGGATTATAAGCGTGTGCCACCATGTCTGGGAATTTTGTAGTTTGGGAAGCCTTTTTTTGTTTTTTTTGAGGCAGGGCTATGTAATTCAGGTTGAGATTATGTAGCCTAGGCTGGCCTTGAACTTGCAGTGATCCTCCTGTCTCAGCCTCTGAAGTGCTGGGATTACAAGTACATGCCACCACCCCTGGGAGAAGACTTAAAGGGAGCAGTGACTGCCAAGTGTGTAGGGAGGAAAGGCTGCGTGAACCTTGAGCTAGTAGGGAAGAACAGTAGGGCCTTTCTGTGTCTTTCCCACACCACAGCTGACACATGCTGGACCTGGAGCACACCGCTGTGCTCGTGCTCCCAGTGTGTCCTTCTCCTGAGCTTCCTTTTTCCTAATGGACAGCACAGATCCAGTAGCTGGTGGAGTCCTCTCTCTAGCTGCTAGTTGCTAGGAAGCTCATATTCAGATCTGAACTTACTCAAGTAACAGCAGAGCACCTGGTAGAACACATTTTGCCCACCCTCACTAGCCCGCCTTCACCTCCTTCTACATCCTTATCTCCTTTCTACTCTGGTATGCAGATGTCTTCCTGGTCCCCAGGTATGCTCTATATCCTTCCCACTCTCCTCTCTTGTTTCGGGAGGCTGCCCCATATGGATACACCAACTGCTGGCCTGCCCACTGGCTTCCAGTTGGTTTTGACTAATGGGGAACTATAGTTGATGAGAAGGAGGAAAGAAGGAAGGTCAGTGCATTTATTCTCATTATCTCCTCTCTGTCTTCTCCCTCTTCCCGCTCCTCCCACTGGGTTGCCTTAGGGTGGCTGTATCTTTCCACCTTCCTCCCATTTAAAAATATTATACAGAGCCGGGGATTTAGCTCAGTGGTTTCGCTGCCTGCTGCGCAAGCGCAAGGACCCGAGTTTGATTCCCGGTACCTAAAAAAAAAAAAATTATACAGATATAAGTCACTTACCATACTTCTCACCATTTTAAAGTACACTGTTTACCATTTCCCTGGTTTGTAGTACATTTATAAGTTGTGCAGTGACAGCCAAATTAATTGCAGAACATTTTTATCATCCCCCAAAAGAAACCTGGAACCTGTCAGCAGCTCTTTCTCATTTCCCCCTCTCCCAGCTCCTGTCAACCACTAATCAACTTTCCGTCTTTATGGATTTGCCTATTTTGGACATTCTGTGTAAATAGGAACGATGTAATATGTGGTCTTTTAGGACTGGCTTCTTTCACTTCACCTAATTTTCAAGGTTCATGTATATAGTAGCATGTCAATAATTCATTCCATTCAAGCATCCTAATTTATTTATTCATTTATTTATTGCTGTACTGGGGATTGAACCCAGGGCCTTCTTGCTGAGCTACATCCCCAGGCCCCCCTCTTTTTTGAGACAGGGTCTTGCTAAATTGCCCAGGTTGGGCTCGACTTGGCAACAGTCCTCCTGTGAGGTATCCTTTCAAGTCTCTGCACACTTCTTTTTCTGGGTTGTGGTCATTCCTTCTTTTCCTTTCCATGTTTATAAAGAATCCCCCCTCAAATTATCTTCGTTGGGCTGTGTCCTTTTAAAAAAATTTTTAATTTGCTGTAGTGGAGACGGAATCCATGCATCACACATGGTAGGCAATCTCTGTACCACTGAGCTATGTCCCTAGCCCTAGGATCCCTTTGAGTTCTGTTGGGTTTCAGACTGATATTTTCGTTGTATGTCATGTGTATTTTTCATGGGTTTCCGTAATATATTGATATATTATTTTGTTTTTCTTTTTGGTGCTGGAAATTGAACCCAGGACCTCATACAGCATGTGCTCATACAGCATGAACAACATCCTCAGTCTTTTATATACCTTTTCTTTTCTTTTTTTTTGGTACCGGGGATTGAACTCGGGTCCTTGTGCTTGCACAGCAGGCGGCGAAACCACTGAGCTAAATCCCCGGACCTTTTATATACTTTTTCATGGTGAGTTAGAAATGAAACAGAAACATGCTAGGTCTACAAGTGAGATGACTCCGGTATGTGGCTATTTCTCATGGCCCTTGCCAGTTAACAAGTGAGTGGATGGTTTTAAGAATCTTGGGTGCCCTTATGCTCTCCAACCCTGATGTTTCTGGAAATAACTTCCAGGGAAGACCTTGTCCTCAGCTGCATTTTGAAAGTGGCTATGTTCACTTGTTCACGTGACTATGAAGGAAACACCTAGTGAATGGTTGGGCTGAAAAGTGGACTTCTCAGTTCACGTGAAGATACTCTTAGGAAATGCGAGAAGGCCTAATTTTAAAAAGAGGGCTCCTTGGGAGGGATGTTAGTAGCTGACACAGAGCCATTTTCTCACTTTCATCTCATCGCCACTGGTGGCTGGGAACATACTATCCAACCTCTGCCTACTCGTGAGGATTCTCAAAAGAGTTTTCAATGAATCTCATTTATTAACAAGGAACAGCTCTACTTAATAAAAAGACTAACATTTGCAAATAACCTCTTATTATTTAAGGCTTTGATTTTTACTGTATTATGGAAGAATTGGCAAGAACAGCAGAGTAAGACAATGGATTCCATAGCAAAGGACCAAGAATAACAAGGCAAAGTTTTCTTAAGCCTGTCACTCAAACCCAAGGGCTTTTTTTGGAGCAATCTTTGATGTGAATGCTCAAAATGCCCCACATCCAATGGCCATATAAATCTTAATGATAAAAGTCAAGAGCAAGGAAAGTTCAGAACAGGAAAGCCTCACAAAACAGATTAGGATTCCAGTGTTATTGGTCATAGAAGAACATTGAGGCCAGTGTGTCCAGCTCAGGGACTTTCTTTTCAAACATAATGGTTGGCTTTACCATTACAAGGCAAATGTGAACAGTTTGCTAAATATTTCACCTATTTAATTTGAGAAAAGTTCATATTATATTGACTACAAGCAAAGAGAAATGTCCACCCATTTTTGGTGGGAGTTGCAACTGGCCCAATATTTCTGGAGAAAGGTGTAGCAATATCTGTTAAAAGGCTCAAACATGGCCAACTAATGCATGAAAAGATGCTTGGCATCACTAATTATTAAATGCAAATCAAAGCCACAATGTGCTCTTACCTCACATTCATTACGATGACCACTGTCAAAAGGACAGAAAGCGACAAGTATTGGTGAGAATGTAGAGAAATCAGAACACCTGTGCACTGTAAAACGATGCAGCTGAAATTGTACTGAAACAGTACAATTCTTCAAAAATTGAAAAATAAACAGTGTGGTGGCACTTGCCTGTAATTGCAGTTACTTGGGAGGCTGAGGCAGGAGGACGAAAAGTTCAAGGCCAGCCTGGGCATCTTAGCAAAACCCTGTCTCAAAAAAATTTTTTAAATGAGGGGTTTGCCCTAGGGATGCAGCTCAGTGGTAAAGTGCTGGCCTAGCAGGTACCTGGGTTCAATACCCAGTACTGAATGGGGAACCTCTACCATTTGTGACAATGTGGATGAACCTGGAAGACATGTGAAGTGAAATATACCAGTCACAGAAGGACAAACACTGTGTGATACCCCTTATATGAAATATCTTAGGTTTATATAAGCGTAAAATCAAATGGTTGCCAGAAAATGAGGACAACAAGAAATAAAGTTGTTTGTTCAGTGGGTATAAGGTTATAGTTACAGAAGATTAATAAATTCTATATATGTATTATACAACATAATGCTTATAGCTAACAATACAATCTTGCTAAAAAATTTTCTAAGTGGGATGATTTCATGTTAGTGTTCTTACTGTGCACGTGCACACACACACACACACACATATATACAAATTATAGGACACAAGGAAATTTCTGGAAGAAAAGGGTGATGGATGTGTTCATTCCCTTGATTATGGTGATGCTTATTTTGGTATATATAGATGTTCACACTCATCAACTTGGATACATTAAATATGTGTATTTGTTTTGGATATCAATCATACCCCAATAAAACTGTTAAAAAAGAATAATGGCATTGGCAAACATCATATGTTAAGTCAAAAAGACATATTAGAACTTAGACCTCTAATGTAATCCAATTTTGCAATAATTCAAGCACACATAAATAGACGAAAGATTGGAAGATATATTTCAAAACATGAACAGGGTTAGGTATGAGGATTAGAGTTGACTTTTATATATGTGCTTGTCTCTATTTTCTAAGATGAAAACACTCATCTTGTAATCAGAAAGAAGCAATTTTTTTTTTTAGATGTGATCCACTATGTAGCCCAGGGGTCTAACTTGTGATCTGTCTGCCTCAGCCTCCCAAGTGGTGGGATTACAGATGTGTACCATCAGCCCTGGCTCAGAAATAAGCAATTTTTTAAAGATAGAATAAAAATAAATGTTCCAAAAGGATTTCGTCACCTTCTGGGAAACAAGGTTGGGGGAACTGAGAAGTGAGTTTCATTTTCTATTTTATATATTTTGCATTTTAAAAAGTTTATACAGTAAAATCTTGGTTTGTGAGCATAATTTATTCTGGAAACATGGTCGTAATCCAAAGCATTTGTATATCAAAGCAAATTTCCCCAGAAGAAATAATGGAAACTCAGATGATTTGTTCTACAACCCAAAAATATTCATATAAAAATGATCACGCTACTGTAATATAATACAAAATACTAAAGAAAATACAAAATAGAAAGAAAAATAAACAAATTAACCTGCATGTACCTTCGAAAACCTTAGTGGCTGATGTCAGGGAGACGAGAGAGAGAAAGGTTATTGTGTAGGACCACTTTGACTATCATTAACGGAATCACTGCAATCTATTGGCTCAATGGAATCTTTTTCTTTTCATGCAACTTTAACAAGGGATCTATCCAATGACACTTGCTTTTGCCTCCTTTTGAGGATTTCTCAGAAATGTGACATCGCATTGTTGTTGAACAGATCATCATTTGCACTGCTACAGGCTTATCAAATTTTGCAGTTTCCCACATTTTACTCACCTCCCTAATCTCATTTAAAGTGAGGGATTCCTGTAGCTTTTTTCTTCCTGCTTTTTAGATGAGATCTCCTCCATTACTTCTTGATGTTGGGAGACAGTCACCCCCAATCTCACAGCAAGAGGGACAGGAGAGAGAGAGAGGGGGGGGGGAGAGGGAGAGGGAGGGAGGAAGAGTAGAGAAGAGGGGAAGGGGGAAAGCAGAGGGAGAAGGGGGAGAGGAGAGAGGGAGGGAGAGTAGAGCATTGCCTCAGTTGTGATCATGTGACATTCAGCATCATATACTACTTGTATTGCAAGACATAGATCTTATCAAGTTAAAATTTATTAGAAATGTTTGCTCACCTCATGGAATACTTGCAGAATAAGTTCCTTGCAATGCAAGGTTTTACTGTACTACTTTTATAATTAAAAAAGAAGAATTAAAAACAAGAGATAATCACCATCACCTTTTCCAACCAAACCTACTTTTCAGGGTCCTGGCTTAAAGAGAGTCCATATGAAGCTGGCATGGTGGTGCATGTCTTTAATCCCAGCACTCTGGGAGCCTGAGGGAGGGAGGATTGCAAGTTTGAGCCCTGTCTGGGCAATGTGGCAACTTAGTGAGACCCTATCTCAAAATTTAAAACTGAAAAAAGGACTGGGGATGTAGCTCAGTGTGAAGTTCAATCCCCATTACTGACAGACAGAGAGACAGACAGAGAGAGACAGAAAATATAAAAAGCACCTTCCAGCAGCGTGGGCCTAGAAAGCCTTCACATTTGGGGCTGTCTGTTCTGCAAGTTGCAGGTGTTTGGTGGTGCCATCCATGCTCAGAGAGGCGATGCGCGAGCTCTTGTGAGCAGAGAATGGCAGCGGCACTTGCAGGAGAGCCTGTCCTTAAGGCAGTGGGAACGGAGAGAATGTTCTCAGTGCCTCAGACAGAAGAGGGCGACGTGATTGAGAGGGAGCCCTCGGCGGCAGGTGGGTGCAACTGTCCATTTTCAGAAGCTAGACTCCATTCAGCAGCAGAGAATGAGGGCGATGTTTCTGTTTTGTCGGAGGAGGTGCTGGGGGTTTGGAGTGCTGCCCAAGTGTGCAGGAGCAGCCTCCTGTATTATTCCCTAACAACCGCATTGTTCACGTGGCTGAGGAGAAGCCTGCTCACAGCACATACGCTGCCGAGTCACCCCTGGCTTTCCCTGTAGTGGAACAAACGGTCGTGAGCTGTACAAACATCGCAGCACTTCGGGCTGTGGCAAAATTTGCTGTGATCGTCTTGAAAGAAGTCTGAGGTGGGGGAATGGTCTGTTTTCAACTTGTCTAGGGATTTAATTTGCTTCACCAAGTTGACCATGCGTGTTTCTAAATGGGTCTCTATTCTTAAAGCAAATTTGGTTATTTTTATTTGGCTCTTCATTCAGTATTATGACATAAGCTTACTTTTCATGTTGATACAAATTTCTTCAAAAGCCTCCAAAATGTCATAATTATTCCATCATATGATTGTGCCATAAATTATCCCTTTGGTTGCCTTAAATGTTGTTGGCAATTTTATTAATGTTGATACTGCTGTAATTAATATTTTTGTGCCATTAAGCTTTTTTTGTGTTTCAGATTATTTCCTTATGACTGATCCCAAGGAAAACCACAAAGTCAAAAGCGTGGACATTTTTCAGTGTTTTGTTTGTTTTATTTTATTTTTGGCCAAATTGTATTTCATGTTGCAGTTTATTTTCTCAAAATGAAAACAGCATTTCCCTTCCTAATTATTTTTTTAAAACTACTTAATGCAAATGATTTACACAAAAAAGAGATAAAGAAATGATAATTATCAACTAAATGTGCTGCAAGTAACTATTAACATTCCTTCAAGACCTTTTCTTATGCAATTGTCTGTACACATGTGGTAAAGCATGAAAGGGTGCTGGGGTACGGAGGCTTCCATAAAAATAATCATGTATTTATAAAGCCAGGGTTCACTTCTCTGCATTCAGAGGGGGGATTTATTTACTGTAACATAAAATATCTTGGGGGAACATTATATAGAGACACCAGCAATTAACTCAATCTAAGAATCACGATTCTTGCAATTAATAGATTGCCAGTCTGAGAGCCTCCTAATTAGGCAGGACTTTCAATAGAGGCTAAAAATTGAGACGTTAAGGGTCAGACAGGGAGACATACTGATCTGCACCATATCCCTGGGGCCGAGGGCACTTCACAGACAAACGGCACTCACCTGTGACAGTGAAGCCTCATTTGCTCTGTCTGTGAAAGCTGTGGGGTATCAAGGCCTCTGCTTGCATCTTCGCAGCATCAATTTACGGGGCACGGGAGCCTTGGATCACCTGCTGAGGCTGGTATTTGAGGTCAGGTGTGATTTACCCTCTTCGTGCCTCTATCCGTCTAGCTCTGTGCATTGAGCTTCTCCAGGACGAGAGGGAGGTGTAGCAGGAGGGATGGGGGTAGAAAGGCTTGGGGAAGGCTGGGTTTGCTTTTTGAACTTTACTCACCCTCCCCCCTTGATGAGGTGCATGCAGAGAACGACCTGCCCCTCCAAAGAAGCAGAGTGCGTGCTGAGCCTCAGTTATGCTTCTAATACTCCTTAAAGATCTGGGGATTCCCAGGGAGGTGGGCAGGTTGTTGGAGTTTGGAGCCTACTTCCTTCCTCTCCACGCTCCTGGGGAGGGAGGGAGGCGGAGCCATGGGAATATCAGCAATGTATGGTTCTCTCTTGGGCACGACCAAAGGTTTTCTGTAGGCTTCTCTCTTTCCTGTGCCTTCTCCACTGTCTTCCTGATGCTCAGGAGACTGTGTATGTGAAACCCTGATCCCTTCTTTCTCCCTTTCTTTCCTCCCATTAGATTCTCTCCCTTCCCTTTTTATCCCTACTCCCTCTAGTTCTGTGACTAATGACTTCCTACTCATCCTTTAGAGACTTTCAGAGGTCACCTGTTCTGGGAAGTTTGCCTGCCCTCTTGGGCTGGGCTTCTCAAAGTGTCTGTCCTATGTGTCGGGAAATGGCAGAATGTCACAGGATGTCAGGCTTTCTTTGTTTCTTTTTTTTTGAGGCAGGGTCTCCTTTCTTTTTGTAGTTCAGGCTGGTCCTGAACTCACTATGTAGCCCAGGCTGGCCTCAAACTCCTCCTGGCCATCCTCCTGCCTCAGCCTCCCGAGTGCTGGAATTGTAGGCATGCAACAGCACGCCCGGCTAACATCAGGCTTTCTTAAGCAGGCTGGCCCTATTCCCCACTTGAACCCATCCTTGGAATTCATTAAAACTTTCCCAAGTTCCTGAAACTGCAAACAAGAGACATGGCAGATGGCTCTGCTCTGTTGTTACTTTCCTGGGGCTTCTGGATGATTGGCAACCCTTGGGACTCCACACCAGCACTAGAAGACAATGGAGCAACATACTGAGGAATGGTCCAGAAGAAAATAAGGGAACATAGACCTCCTTAACCAGAGGCCCAGGACACACATGTTCATGTCCCCCAAGGGAGTCTGCCTTCCAGAAACAATAGGAAAATAACCAGGACAAAGAATCTGGCTTTGTAAATTGGTGCTTGTCCACTGTTCCACCAGAGAAGCTGGGCTGCAGGCACGCTGATGCTTTTTATTTATTTATTTATTTATTTTTTGGTACCAGGGATCGAACTCAGGTCCTTGGGCTTGCAAGGCAGGTGGCGGAACCACTGAGCTAAATCCCTGGCCCCACGCTGATGCTTTTTTCTACCTTTGCTATTAAGAATGGCTGTGCTGTCACCAAATGTCGACTGGCCCCAGGACCAGAAAGTGACCAGCACCTAGTGGCTGAAGAGGAGACATGGATAGCCATCAAAGTAACAAAAGGCTTCTCAGACATCTGGAGGCATCCAACGGCCTCTCAGGGGAACACTGTAATGCCTTGAGAGGAAAAAAATCTTTCTTAGAGGCTGTGACAGTAGAGAGGAATTCAGAAGGTTTGGCAGGGTTTCACTGGGTGACAAAGAGGAGGAAGAACACAAGCAGAATGTCAAGCACATACTAATTCCAATCAAAGTCAGTCTAGCTTCCTGTACTGCTCGTGTTCATCTCTAGAATCTTCAGTGGCTCCCCAGTTCAGTTCTAACAAGCTCAGAACAAATTCCTCCTCAAACACGCAGTCGAGGCCATCCATAGTACAGCCGTCTCCCTGCATCAGTTTCTTCCCTTCTTCAACCCTGCCCCTTTGCCTTCCACCTGGAAAAGCTCCTCCTCCTCTCCACTCTCTGAGATTCTTCTGGTGTTTTTACCTCCCCTGTGAGGCTGTAGCTCTGTCCTGGTCACCATGGCACCCCCTTAGCATCCAGCACAGCATGGATGCTCCTGCAGGCTTGGATTGCTAGGGTGAAGGGGTAAGGGCAGTGGCTTTTCCTGCTGGAGAACAAGCACTGAGGTGTCCCCAGGCCCCCCTTCCAATGAGAAGAATGATTGCCCTTTGCTGTGCACATGGGCATAACTCCAGAGGCTGCCTCAGTGTCCCCACAGGTGTGTTCTAGAGAGGATTTCCGGGGAGACTCTTATGCAACTACCCGATCTCAAGTCCTTCCCTGTTTGCTCAGTCATTTGTGTCCTGAACACATATGGAGCATTTACCATATGCCAGGAACTGTGACATGGTGGGGGTACAAAAGGACTGTTGCAGGCCCTCTCTTCAGGGGATTCTGGCCCAGAGGGGAGTCAGAGCCAATCTGAGACAGAGACGCCAAGGACTGGGCCAGAGAAGGGAGCGAGCTGGGCCCAGGGGGAAGGGTGGTCAGGAGATGCATCACAGCCATGAGAGCATTGGTAAAAGTCCGGGAAAACAACTAAAATCTGACAGCTGGCAAATGTTTGTATGCATGACTCTCTTGTTTTTATGTGTATGTGTAATATGTATGGATGAATGTGTGTGTGTGTGTGCGTATATGGCTATGAGTGCATGTGTGTGTGTATGTAGGAGTGTGCATGTTGTATTTATGTATGTGTGCATTCTGAATGTGTGTATAAGTGTGCATGTGTGAGTTGTGCATGCATGTATAGGTGTGAACATGTGTACTTATATATGCTTGTGTGCGTGAGCACGCACTTGTGTACAAGTGTATATGTCTCGGATGTGCCAGGGCATATGCTTCTATGTGTTTGTATGTTTAGTATATAAATGTGTGTGTGTGTGTGTGTGTGTGTGTGTATGTGTGTGGGAGGGCATGCTCATGGAACAGCATGTGGTGGAAAGTGTAAGGACAGGAGGGGAGATCAGTTAGTCATTTTGGGGTTTCGAGGGACAGTAATGTTGGGTAACAGTGTTAGGCTTAGGAGCAGATGGTGGGAAATATTTGAGTTCACTTGCTACTTGGAGACCACTGAGGAATCAGGGCTGAATCTGTCATCACTGACATCACTGAAAGCTCTGAATGAGACTCTGACATGGCCAGAAGAGGCCCAGAGCCACCCACCCTCCTCCAAAGGATGGGCTCTGCAGAAGGATGATGGGAGCAGCCATGCACAAACGTATCTGAGGTGAGAGCAAGACCAAGGAGGCTGGTAACTGGTCCTCCAATTCAGGAGGAATTTTGACTTGGACCAAAAAATTGAAAGAAACAAAGAATGAGGGCTGGGGATTTAGCTCAGTGGTTCAGCAGCCTGCCCCACAAGCTCAAGGACCCGAGTTCAATTCCCGGTACCAAAAAAAAAAAAAAAAAAAGAAGCAAAGACTAGAGGTTTGTGCCTCAAGTCTTGTTTTATCCTTATCCTTCCTGCTCTTTCCGTTCCCACGATTTCTTATTAAATAGCTAATGTCTTATTAAATAGTCAAGTCACTAGACAATGCCCTGCCCTGTTGTGTGACAGCCCCGGGGGTCCCCATGGCCTGGAGCCTATGTGCTCAGGTGACCCTTGAGCC